TACAGGATTATAGAAAAATGAATATTTACTGACAGGTTCACCAGTTTACGGTAAAGCTGTGCAATCTAGTCTTAAATGCAAGTGTATGCTATGTTTTAACCAGTGAGACACAAGACCCTTGCAGTCAACCTTCAGCTGTAGTTACCACTACCTGTCCATCTTTCCGAGATTTCAGTATGTCCTCTTCATTTGATGAATAAGGTTGTTTGAAAGCACAATCATCTGGCTCAATAGTACACATCTGAAAGGACAGGAGACATAAAATATTTAAAACAATATTCCAGAGTATTATTGATGCCATAAACATTTAAAATTTAATATAAAGTTAGATCAAAAGATGCTGCATATAAATAGTCCACTAAAGCTAATACTAAATGACTCCTAAAAAGGGCATGTGCCCAGTTTTGTTTTGAAATGAACATCTTGTTCCAGGCTAACTTCATCCTAAATATGACTGCAAAAAGAATGATATTCTTGTAACATGTCCATTACAAACAAAATGGCTGTAGCTGTCATAAATCTTCTGTTTCATTTCTACTGGAATTCTACCAAATGAAGATTTGTATTTTAGCTGTAGGTCAGGAGATGTACAGACTATCAAAGCTTTTCCACTATCTATGAAGATCAAGTTAGGAATGTGATAGAACACTTACCATTTGGATGCAAATACAACAAAATTCATCATTCAAGATAGACCAGTACCCCAAACTTAATATCCACACTCTCCCCACCACTGGAGCTGCACCAAGCACAATTTAGAAACACACTGCAGCAACTTAGCAGGTTTACACTGACAACAAAATGACCCTCTTCAATGATGGAGATGGAAAGCTATTATATCTCAGGTACACCATCACCTCAAAGTGAGAGAATTTAACATAGGCATGTCATCCGTTTATTCAAAATCACTTGTTCAATATCCTAGTGTTCCTTAAATCAACAGCCTTAAGAACATCTGTGCCACAAGAGATGCAACACTTCAAAACAAAGCCTACATCCAGTGAGTCAAGGAAACGGCAAGGGATTATAAATATGGTGTCCATGCCAGAAAAATGTTGAGAAAAATGAATAATAATATAGTTAAATATCACTCGCCAACCGTTTGGGTTGTAGCTCATATTTATAATCATGATACAAGCCCCAAATGCACATCATAATTCTCCTCCAAACAATAAGCAGCTTCTTTTGTATTGTCTGAAAAATGAACTCCCTTTGCCAAATGCAGCAGCCATCTCTAACTTGGATCATGTGGAAACAATAAACTACAGTTCTCTAAATCTGGATGTTCAACATAAACAGCTTAATTGAAGGACATAACACAAGTGTTCTTAAAAGGTTTACAGCAAGTAGTCAAGAGAAATACTTTGTGAAAATCATTCTGGTCTGGTAACCCTGCAGCTAGGAAAGAAAGGGAAGGGAGGGCACGAATGGTTCTATTTTCTATTTAACTTGTAAAATAAGGAACTTTCCTCTATTTCGATATTAAAAATTGGGCAGTAAACTAAATGCAATTTAACGATATTATTTTAATCAAAAAGCAACTAAGAGATTACAGACTACTGGTAGCTTAACCATACACAATTAGCTCCTAATTGTAACTGGTCTGCAACTGATTTCATATAGCACCACAGCAGATCAGAAGTACAAACAATAAATTGAAATGGAAGAAGATAGTAAACATAAAAAGAAAATTATTTCAAGGTCATATTAAAGAAAAGGATAACCAGGTATGTTTTGATAAATACCTATCCCACATTGTGTATAAAATCATTTTCTCCTTCAACTGCTACCTATTAATAAGTATGCGGTGCTTAAACACTGTTCCAATATTGTTTGAAGCATTAGTATACCTACATTGCGTAAATTAAACCTTACTGGTACTTACCAAGGGGAGATCTTTAAGCCGTTTTGGAGATTCTTCCAATGTAGGTGAATGAGGCCTTTTCGATGAAGAGCTGTTTGGACTTGGGCTTAACTTGGTCCCATTTGGCAGTGGCTGGCTACATGGAGATGTCAAACGAGGAATTACACTGCGCCCAACAACAGTGGGAATAGAACAGAGTGCTTGAGAAGGAGTGGAGTTTGTAGTGGAAATAGGATCATTCTCTGCAACAAAATATTTATTAGTTAATATCTTTGAAATCAAAATGTGAAGGCTTGCTGTATGCCTGTTACAATAAATTGACATACTTGCACCAATAACAGGCCTAGACTTTCCTTGGCCAAGTTGCTTTTCTGGAGAATCGCACTCATTGGGCATTAGTTTTGTTACATCTGAAGCTTGTTTTTTTCCAGGTGAAATACCATACCTAGTAAACAACAAAAATGTCTTAAGTGCCATAATATTACAACATGAATATCAAAGTGGTCAACATGTTCCACATCTGTTGCACATACTTCTGCAAGTCCTCTGTTCCCTGAGTATTTGGTTTGGAAGATTTTTGTAACAATGCAGGAGAACCAAAAGGGGTGCCAACATCAGTATCCCTAGAACTGTCCAAAGGACTTCCTTCTAAAAACGTGCGATTTAGATTTCCAACATTTCCAGAAGAGTTCCGATTAATGTCAGGTATGCTTTGCTGGAAGACAAAAACAGAATGAGACATAAAAATGCAATCCAATATAAAGTGCTGAATCAGGTCAATGCAGCGGTCCATATTTACCTTCTTCTTTTTCTGTAGAATTTCAGCTGGCAAATACTGATGGAGCTGCTTCTTCTTGACATGTGTAGCTTCAATTCTCATTTTCTCCTTCAGCATATTAATGTTATTTGCTTGTCTATACACTGGAATAAACCAGAATTGTTCCCAGATAAGAACAAAAGTCACAAAGTGAAAAAGAGATGATTTCTAGAGTTTAAATTATGTAATATCTAAACTTTCAAAGTGCATATATTTGAAAGGAAATTCTAGTACTGTACATTTAAGCACTCTGTCAAGGGCCTTGTTTTGTTCAATAATGAGGCACTGACATTATGAAAAATAATTTGATTAATTTCAGGCAACCTTGAGCAAAATTTACATTTCTAGCCATTACAAAAGAATATTAAAATTAACTCTTTTCCTGTTACCGTAAAAACACATTTTCTCTGATAAATGCAAAGTTCAAACACATAAGGGTGGCACGGTGGCTCAGTGGTTAGCACTGCTGCCTCACAGCGCCAGGGACACAGGTTCGATTCCACCCGCGGGCAACTGTCTACGTGGAGGTTGCACATTCTTCCAGTGTCTGCATGGGGGTGCTCCGGTTTCCTCCCACAGTCTAAAGATGTGCAGGTTAGGTGAACTGGCCATGCTAAATTGCACATAGTGTTCAGGGATGTGTAGATTAGGTGGGTTATAGGAGGACGGGTCTGGGTGGGACTCTCCGAGGATTGGTGTAGGCTTGTTGGGCCGAAGGGCCTGTTTCCACAGTGTAGGGATTCTATGATAAGATGACAAATGTATGTATCAATGGCACGCCACACGCTGAATGTGGGAATCTCTTTTTTAGAAGTGGCACACTATGTGACAACACTTTTAAGTGATGTCCTCCTGAATTTCACACTGATACGCTCTCACTTTGATAGCATAGTGTAATCAGGGTATCTAAACTCAGTGGGCCAGAAATAAAACAAAAATCAACTTTCCACTAACTATTGAATTACAGCAGCAAGGATGAAAAGAACAGATTGGACCACACTGATAACAAATTAGTAAGAAAGCAACTTTATATACACAAAAAAAAAAATTTACAGAAATACAAAAACATTGCATTACTGTCACTATTGATAATTTGCCCTGCTCTAGCCTATATCAGTTTATCAATGGAATGCCATAGCATCAATTTGCAAAGAAAGCCATCAACTTCTAATGTTACTCCATTCAATGATAAAGTGTTAATTAAAGCTATTTCAGGTACTCCTTTGTTAACATTGAAACATAGCTATATTTGCAAGGAGTAGTGTGACAATTGCTACAGGTTAAGGCAAATCTTCATAGTTATAAGCTCAGCCAGAGCATTACTAGTATCAGCATTATTGGGACCAGATTGAAAACATTAACACAAAATGCCACCAGCCAACTGTTACACATCACATCTTCCTGGAGTTACCAGTATTTCATAAGCATATTCTCCAACTATCTAGATCTTGTATGGCACTGTACGATGCAGAACTAATCATTGCAAAGCCTCAAGTATGAATTATAGACTTTCAGAAACTTGGTGCAAAGTTGGGGACTCTTAATCTCTCCCATTACGTGCTTCCTTCAGTTACTGATATTTCAATAAATTCTGTACTTTTGGTCTGCAGCTATGTCCCGTTCTTAAACATTCTGATTTTATTTCTGATTTAAAATTTGTAAGTGCTGGGATTACAAAAGGTCAGGCAGCATCTATGGAGAATCAAATAGATTTAAAATGTTTGAGGTCAGTGATCTTTCATCGGAACCAGGAATAAACATATAATTGGTTTTGAGCAAGGGTAGGTGAAGCAGGACAATAAAGGTCTCTAACAGGGTAGAAGACAGGAAGAGATTGAATGACAGAAGAAATTTGTTTTATTGGGCTAATGGGAATAGTAATGTGGGAAGGAAAAACTAAAATATGTGCTGTTGATTGAAGCCAAAAAACAAGAAAAACTGAAACATGCAAAAGAAACAAAAATTTTTTGGTGGCGGGGGGGGGCAGGCGTTCAGATGTGGTGCTGGGAACAGAGTTTTCAGTCTGAAATTGTGGAATATTGATTTGTGAAGGCTATATTAAAAAAAAAGGTCTGACTAAAAGATGAGGTGCAGATGGTCAAACTTCTTTTGAGCTGCACTAGAATAGTGCATGAGGTGGAGGACAGAAACGTCAGTATGAGATCAAAGGGAGAGTCAATATTGGAGGCTACTGGAATATCAAGGTCTTGATCATTGACTTTAACAATGCATTCTGCAAAGTGGTCAAGTGTACGGTTGGTCTCACCAAATGTACGTCAACTTTCCAGCATCCACAGCATATTGCTTTCGAAAATTTAAAATCAGTTCCAGCTTTACAGCCACTGCTCATCAAAAGCATTCAGTACTCCGACCGCCCAGAAGGGATCCACCCATGAATTCCTTAGAATCCCAAAAAATTCCATGTGACCACTGGTCAATTCATTTCCTCCAGGAGTAAATTTTACACAACATTAAACTAAAACAAAAAGTATGGCATAATGCTTACAGGTCTGTTAAGCAAGAAAAATGAACATGGCTACTGAATCTCTCTATCTTTTGCTGTACTACATAATTGCACTATGGGCTGTGAAGAACTGAAGCCTCCTTATGCACACTGTATAGCTTATTTTGCTCTTACACAAGATTGCCCCCTACATCTGAAAAATACTGTCAGTCATTCAGTTTCTGAGCAGGTTCATGGGTTGAAATTTATTTCTACAGGAGAAATTGCTACATTTGTAAATCAAGTTCTCTTTTAAACAATCCAATAGTTTGAGAAAGAAACTTCACTTTACATCTAAATTTGATGTCTGGCTTTGCACTTTACCAGAGACTCTCAAGCAACATCAAGATGGGAAATAAAAATCTGACAGTACAAAAGGAAAGGAAATGTTATTTGATTTGAGGTACAAGATAAAACAAAGTAAATTTTAAGAAAGAGAAATCAAAACCCCCAATCTCAAAGTGAGCTAAGCACATTGTTCAGTGAATCACCTGTTTCGTAATTAAGCTTGTAGCTTTAGAGCGGTCAGAATGTAATTACTCCAGGTAGTTGATCTCCATTTTAGCTAATTCACAGCATAATGCAATAGCATTCAAAATGGAGCTGCTCTGCAATACATAATCCATGATGGTACTACGGTGGCCTAACATCAGAGGTCAAACATAGTTGATCTCATGAGGGGCAAATATTTGACTTCAATTGCATGCTTGTTTCTGTTCTATAATGAGGGCAGAGTAGTGACAAAAAAGGTGAAAACAACCAACAAATAGGATATCTGTATCTGATGATAAAAGGATGGTGAACATGACAAATTTGGACAAAGAAATACCTGAATTTCAGAACTTCATTAATTAACGGGATGAGAACATTGCTGGCTAGGCAGCATTTGTCCATCCCTAATTGCCCAGAGGGCAGTTCAGAGTCAACCACATTGCTGTGGGTCTGGAGTCACATGTGGGCAGATAAGGATGGCAGTTTCCTTCCCTAAAGGACATTAGTGAACCAGTGGGTTTATCCGACAATTGACAATGGATTCATGGTCATCATTAGATTCTTAATTCTACATATTTTACTGAATTCAAACTCCACTATCTGCTGTGGTGGGATTTGAACCCGGGCCCCCAGAATGTTATCTGGGTCTCTGGATTAACAGTCCAGCGATAATAGCACTAGGCCATTTCCTTCTCTGCTATAAACACCTATAAAGGCAGGTGGAATACTGGCAAAGTTGGCTGGAATGCTGAAAAATGGAGTTTGACAGAAGGCATCTTTTAACCTTCTTTTCTAGAACATTTCACCAAAGGGCCTGAGAAAAATAAAAAGTAGGTTGATACGGAGCTACAACCCACAACCAGAATGCTGCAAAACAATTTAAAAAGATACTTTAAAATACAGGAGAGAGAAAACATTATAGTAGAGAAAAATATAAAATTAGTTATTGCTGTAGGGAATAGCATGTTTGATAATGTAAAGTAGTTACTGGGGTGTCTGAATACCTTGGGAGGGACAGACCTTAATGCTACACCATTATCATAGACCCAAAACCCTGGTGCTACAATATTAACCTTGTTGCTGAGTAAGTCACAGCAGGCAGGAGAAGGTCAAGTCAAAGAACAAAACTGATGGACAAAGTAGAACAGAAGAATGCTGACTCCAGGGAGTTGGCTTCAAAAATTATGATCCAGTTGATAATCTCAGTAAGCCCGCTTGTGGAATAAATGAACATCTCATGACCTTAAGGCTCACCACAACCCAGAAGCATTACATACACCTCAATCCTACAAAGCAACAGATGAGGCCAAAAACAAACTCTACTCCAACTGGGATCAACGGTTTTCTCCCAGCCCAGAGACAGATCCACAATTGTCCTTGAAGGACACAAACTTCTGGAACAATCACAATTAGCAAGGAAGGCATTGCGAAAGCACAAAACTATGGATTCAATCTTCTGATGAAATATCTCAAACATGATCTGGTCATAAAACACTCCCTACTTCAGAGACAAATCTTATGGCAACACTCTCATCCAAAACTTAAGCACCTGCTTGACTAAGTCATTGCGTGATTGAGGGATCACAAGAATGTCTGCATTAACCATGCCATGACAAGAGCTGACAACTTCTGGACTGAACCTCACCTAATCCAGTCTACTACCTTCACAGCCTAGCCCCAAAATAGCAGTGGCAGAAGCTCTGACAATGAATTTTCTATGGCAACGAACTGAAGGACCTGCAATAAGACCTACTCAGTTAGTACTTTACAGTTATCCTGTTTAGTTTCAATGAGCAGGAACCACACTAGGTCTGTAGGTCCAACACTCCATAAAAGTAACTTAAAGAACAAGCGATGGTTGGGAAAAGTGCAGGAAATCCAGCAGCTCTCCAACAGCCATGACATGGACAAGATTCTTCCCTTATCTGGAAGAACAGCATGTATGCCGGGGATCTCTCAGACACCATAATTGAGATGGTCTTTGATAAAGGAGACAAGACTGATTGTAATAACCACAGAGGGGTTTCCCTGTGGCAGACAGCAGGGAGGAAGTCATTGCAAGAATTCTCAATTGCCTTTATCCAGAGTCACAACGTGGACTTTGTATCCATTAGGAGGCTTGGCTGATGCCTTACTGTGAAGATCATAAGTCCACAAAAATATGCAGAAAGCAGAAGCAACCTCTATGCATGGCCATTTTGACCTCCAACTCTGTCAACTGGGACAGATTGTGGAGCGTCCACCTCCACTTTAGTTGCCAGAGAAATTCATCAGCAACTGCTGCCTAAAGCTTGATAACACACAAGACAAGACATGATCCTCACTGACAGATCAAACACAGAACCAGTAAGAGTTCAAAGTGGGGTAAAGCAAGGCTGTGTCATCGTACCAATGCTCCTCTATCTTCATCACAACACTCCACCCCAGCTCAATGAAGCTCCTTGATAAATGCAACATTAACAATGACTCCGAGGACTCCCTCGCACAGGATCGCTCAAACTGGAGAAACACTTTATGGGAAGATATCATCCGTGGAGCTTTGACAGATAAAGGAGCAGCCCAAGTGCAAATAACAGAAGGGGTATGCTAAAATCTGAGAATCAACCTGCTTCACAAACACCCATCTACGGTCATGTGCACAGATCCAGTATTGGACTATACCAACTCAGGATCCAAAATTCCAAAAGTGGAAAGTCATTCTCGAATCCAAACTGGATAGTTACTAAGGAATCTGAGCTGATAGCATTAAGCAAATTTCATCATATAACTATAAAAGGACCAAAAAAAAACTTCAGTCAGAAAATGCAACACATCCAAAGTCAAGCTGCAGTTTTTGAAAGGGTGCTAAAATTAGTTCATGCAATCTATTTTTTGCATTGGTTCTGTAAACCTGTTATATTGTATAAAATTGATTATAAAATGAAAAGATTACAAGGGCTCAAACCTTCCAAAATAAAAACCGAAAGAACTGCGGATGCCGTAAATCAGGAACAAAAACAAAGTTGCTGGAAAAGCTCAGCATCTGTGAAGGAAAAAACAGAGTTAACGTTTCGGGTCCGGTGATCCTTCCTCAGAACTGGAGAAACAATTCTGAGGAAGGGTCACCAGACCCGAAACGTTAACTGTTTTCTCCTTCACAGATGCTGTCAGACCTTCTGAGCTTTTCCAGCAACTTTGCTTTTGTTCCTCAAACCTTCCTATCTGGGTTGGAGTCAATATTGCCAATCCAGATCAGACCAAAAGTCACTTACCTTCCCATAATTTTTCAGGCCTGACTTCTGAAGGGTCAACCCTAACAATCGCATCCCAGAAAACCCACACAGGCTACACTGGAGTAAGTGAATATTCTCAAAAGTCAAGCCCTTTTTTATTTCAACCACTGCCATAATCCAGCAATGGATAAAGTCTAAAAAAAAATCCCAAAGCTTCTTTGCGAGCTACCAAGAAGGCAAGTGGGTGAGGGAGTGACAGGTGGATCAGCAAGGCGTCAAAAGGTGTGAAAACAAAATATTGAGAGGCAGTGATCAGTGTTAGAGAGACCACTAAATGAGGAGTCAGAATGGGGGTCAGTTTTATATTGTTATCCAGACATTACAGCAGATTTTAATCCCACCCTAACCTTTTCCTGGGTAATTACCCTGGTGGAATCAAAAGCTCTTGGAAGTCTCAGACTCTGCAGAGCTGGAGATATTTTTGAGGGTTATGGAGAGTGTAACTACCTATCAGAAGCTTAAAACCTCCTGTGCAATCAAATTGGGATACCCATGGAATTCCAAAGCACAACTCTTGGGGAATGTCCTGTTTCAGGTTATCTGGAGACCAAGATCTGGGCTAAGATCTTTTTTGTCCAATGAAGTCTAAAGCAATTTATAAAGATTAAAAAACAAATATCTTAAAAAAACTGTAAAACCCACCAAGCTCAAATCAAATAGTACATTTTTTTTTACCTGTATCAGTGAATAACTGAATATCTTGTGTCAGATCAATGTTTACACTTTCTGCATTTTCCACCTTCTTAAAAATTATTCCAATAAACCAGATGGTAACATAATCACCCCTAAAAAGAAGAGAAAAACAGAGCTTTCAGAAGGTATTTACTTGATAGAACATTGCTAACCATTTTACTTCAACGGGATTTAGAAAGGTTAGCTACATTTGAGGCAGGATTTGTAGTCAGCAAAGTGATAGCAATAATTTAAAATTGGAGAAACCTCTGCAAAGATTTGGAGCACAAGATATAGGATCAGAATAAAGCCTTTGGCGTATCAAGTCTGCTTCAGCATGTAATCATGGCTGATATGTTGATCAATATAATTCTTGTGCCTTTTCATCACAAGCGATCTTTGTGGGCTGAATTTCACCCGTCAAGACATTTAAGTTAATTTTGGTTTTGGCTAAAGATAGCCAACAGTAGTCACACTATCAAGCTAAGCAGCCAGAGTTCTTACAAAGAAACAGGAAATTAACAAATGTCAGAGGCAGCTATCTGGCCCATCACATCTGTGCAGATTGAAAGAGCTATTCAACCTAATCCTACTTTCTAGTTTTTTTGTGCCTATTTCTCACTGAAATCGATCAATCTGTGGTGTGATATTTACCAATGATACTGGTTACTCATACTCAAGAGCCAACTTATCTTATTTCTACCTCCAGAAAGGAGGAGTGGATAGTATTGTAGAATACGGTCCTGAAACACCTGTAAAAGTTCTATGCAATTAAAATTAGAATTTGCTTTACACAGTCTGGTAACGCCATGACCCTACAGAATACCGAATGACTGGCTGAAAGATTATCTGATACTTGTTTGACAGCTTTGTAAATCAGCTTAAGTGATCCTACACCAACACAAGAGGATGCAAACTCAACTGTTACCTGATTACTCTCCATGGGGCTTTTTGGTTGAATGCCTAATTGGGGAAATTAAGAATAACATTTCTCACTATTCTGAGATCTCAGAATCCCTACAGTACAGAAGCAGGCCATTTGGTCCATCAGGTCCACACCAACCCTCTGAAGAGCATCCCAGACCCATTCCCTCTAACCTATCCCTATAACTCTCCATTTCCCATGGCTAATCCCCCTATCCTGCACCTCCCTCAACACTATGCGCAATTTAACATGGCCAATCCACCTAAGCTGCACATCTTTGGATTCTGAGGGAACTGGAGCATCCCCACGCAGACACAGGAAAAGTGTGCAAACTCCACACAGACAGCGCTGGAGGCTGTAATCAAACCCGGGTCCCTATTACTGTGAGGGAGCAGTTTTAACCACTGAGCCACCGTACTACCCTATTGTGATTCTAGTGTCGTTTGTAGATCCCAGTGCATTATCTCCCCCTGCTGCTTACTGATTTTAATCTGCCATTTTCCTGTCACCTCATCAGTCCACTGATTTCTTCCTGCAGTATTTCAGCTTTTTCCTTCACTATCACCCACATGGCTAACTTCCTTATGTCCCCAATTTTGATATGTACCAAGAAAAGCAAGGGAACCAGTACTGAGCCTTGCAAAAACCTGCTGGAAACAGACTATGAGTCACAAAAGCGACTATAACCCTTAGTTTCTTGCTACTGCATCAATTTTGGATGAGTCTGTCATGCAGGACCTTTTAAAACCACACATGGTCTACGCCACCCTCAGGTCGTCTGCCTTGAATTAGTCAGACACAACCAACCATTCTTTTAAAACAAATGCTAATTATCCTTGAGCAATAATCATTTAGAATGGCACAGATTTATGCTGTCTTTTAAATTTATTATCTCCTCAAACTAATTGTCTATCATATGATGTCTGGTCTGTCACTTAGATGATCCTTTCCCTTCTTTCTAAGAGACATCCAACAAACCATGAAGTAAAATACGTCAATTACCTTTCACTTCAGTCATTTTACAAAAAAGTAAAACAGATTGTAATACACAAACAGTTGAGGCTGATATTAATATTTCATATTTTAACTTTTAAAACTATGGCATTTTTAATCACAAGAAATATGATATTCCACAAATACAAAATGTTCCAGGACCAGAGGCTGTTCTTCAGAAATTATGAACTTAGGTACAGTTAAATTAACAAGATGTAATTATTTAACCCCAAGGATTTTGTCAGATCAAAACAAAAAAGAGTTCATATCAATTTAAGCAAAAACAGCAAGAATAGTACAACACAAAAAGATAGGCCCTTTGACCCACCAAGACTGTGCCAACACATGCCTTTCTAAACAGTCCAGAGCCTGTTCTGCCATTCAATTAGATAATGGATGACCTGTACTTTGACTCCATTTATTAGCCGTTCTCCGCATCCCTTGCCTAACAAATAATAACTACCTGAGACTTCCAACAAACCCATTATCCATGGCTTTTCAGAACGCTGAATTTGAAATTTTCACTCTCCATTGAGAAAACAGCTTCCTGATTTCTCCGCTAAATAACCAAGCTCCAATTTCAAGACTGTTCCCTCATTTTGGCTTCACCCACCAAAAAGCAGGCTTTCCTGCATCTACCCTATTGAATACTTAATCACCTTAAACATGTCAATTTAAAACTCTCTTCAATCTTACATGACCTTACTCAAGGAAGAGTAAACAAGTTTATGTAGCTTGCCATCAGGGCTTGAGGGGGCAGATGATGGCACAATTCTGCTGAATTTCCATTCGTATGTCAATATATTCTTCCCAAAGTATAAACATTGAATATTCAAAGCAATGTTCTAGTTAGAATCAGACCAAAGCCCCTTTGCATTCCAACACTCTTTTCTTTCACTATTGCTTTTTGTACCTGTGTGCTAACCTTTAACAATTTCTGGATAAGGCAATCTTTTGTTCCTCAGGTCACACTAAGGAGACTTCCTGATTTACATTGCTTGGATCTAAAGTGGATGATGTTACACTTTTCGAAACTGAATTCCATCTGTCACTTGTCCTCATAAGTAAGTCTTTGTAATTTTCTACTCTAATCCAAAACAGTTATTGTGCCTCCTAACTTAGCATCTTCTGCAAACTTGGATTTACAACTCTAAGTCGTTCATACAAGTCAGTTTTTTATATCTACAGAGAACGGCAGGGGCCCCAAGATCGGATGCCCAGAGAAATGGAGGCGCTGGTTAGCTGTAAATCAATCGGTAGCAGAACAGGTTCAAGGAGCAGGGTCTACTCACGATCCTCTGTAGTACCTGTGCACAGTGCACAAGCCTTCCAGACCACAGCACAACGTACAGTACAATTCATAATCCAAATTATTGATACATAAAAGCTCCAGACAAATGTTGAAAAGATTTGCTTTTGACAATGGTAAAATGGATTCAATAATCAATTTGCCAATTTCTTCTCACCATCTTGAAAGCCTTTTTGATCACCAAGATCTATTTTGATCTCATTGTTTTATTATATTACTGTAAGATACACCACACAGTGAAAAGCTGTCACCACAAAGCAGCACCATTTAAGAACAAGGGCGAAAAAAAGATATAGCTTGAAAAGAATCGAGACAGCTCATCACCGTCAGCAATGCTTGCGCTGCCATTTCTCTGTAATTGCTTCACCACCGTCTACACCGGACCCAACAAACATCGAAGTCGCCAATCTGCAGGCGCCATCTCTGCCACTGGGCCCATACCCCTCTGCTGGATCAACTAACATCAGAGTCACGTCGCTTGCTGCTGGGTCCACCTCACAGATGTAGCAGTTATGCCCTTCTGCCACCGCGTTGTGCCACCAGCACCAGACCCAAACAAAGGACAGATGTCAGAGGTAGGTTCTTTACTCAGAGAGTAGTAAGGGCGTGGAATGCCCTGCCTGCAAAAATAGTAGACTCGCCCACTTTAAGGGCATTTAAATGGTCATTGGATAAACATATGGATGATAATGGAATAGTTTAGTTTAGATGGGCTTCAGATTGGTTTCACAGGTCGGCGCAACATCGAGGGCCGAAGGGCCTGTACTGCGCTGTTATGTTCTACGTTCTAAAGTTGCTGATCCTCAGGCATCACCTTTTGGCACCGGGCCCACCTCGCCGGTTGCCTCTGCCGACGTAGCAACCGCTGATTCCAGGTCCTATGCATTCTTTGGAAAACAAAGTAGGGGCTCACTCTCCTCTGCCCTGAGCATGGCTGCACCCTAGGTCTGGCTTGAGGTCTGTGTGCTGGACTCTTGCTGCCACCAATGCCATCCAAGCTCAGGACAAGCAAGTAAATTTTAAAAAAAAGCGTTAAAAACAGAAGAAAAGCAGTTGGAGCAGATGAGCCCTACTCTGCTGCTACCTTGGACCGGAACTATTCTCATGGACCAACAGCTGGATTTTATGGTCACATTGTAGGGTATTTTCTCAGTGGGGAACGAGCATGTAATATATCGGGTAACTGGCCCATCATCTTGCCACCCACCCTGCAACCTGGCTCCAATTGCTGGGGGTAGGGGGTTAGTCTTATGTGCATTGGCTCCCCGATGCCTCCACACCCAAAATACCCTGGTCTTTTTTATTGGGTCTAGCACACGTGGGTCCGCTTGCAATCCCAGCAGGGCCCATTAGATTTCTGGGGCTCAGCACAAGGATGGGACTTCCTCCATTGAAGCCTGAACTCTCACCACCAAAAGGTCACCTGAAGCAAGTCATTGAAGCAAGAAAGCCTTTCTCAAACTTGCAGTATGCTTTCTCTTCCCAATGTATTTTGTGGGACTGAATTTTATAATCTCTAAATTAAATGTATTAAAAAAATCTAGTCATAGAGACAAACAACTACAGTATTTCAGAAAGCACCTGGCTGTAATAACGCACACTCTGCTCATCCTCCAGACAACACTCAACCTTTCTTCTAAAGGAAGATCTTTTCTTTAGGCACCTAGTTCCTGCTGAACTTTACACATAGCTCTCGCACATCACTTCACAGCATATTTGGAGAAGAATGATGGCCCGACATCAAAAGTCACTAGAATTTTGAAAATGAAGCCAGCTTGCCCTTAGTTAATAGAAATGCAATAGATCTAATTTTCAGATGGATCCACTTGCTAATCATGGCAGTAAATGTAACTATGTAGCCTACCCAATAGTCTACACTTTTCATCTGAATTACTGTGCATCCACAATATAGTTACTGCTCCAAAAATATTGGTTTGAAAACTTTCATATGGTAACATTCCCACTTAGGCCTAAATTGAGATTATTCACAATTTTGACCACAGATACATATTAGAAGTGGTGGTCACTTGCACTCTCAAAGCAACTCCACCATTCAATAAGATGAATGCTGATCAGATTATTCCACATTCCTGCTTATCCACAATAAACGTTCACCCCCGTGCTTAGTTAAAAAAAACAAAACCTACCTCTAACCATGAAAATATTCAAAGGTTCTGTTTCTAACGTCTTGAGGAAGTGTTCCAATGACAGGAAGAACTATCACTCCTTCAGTGTGACTTACACGTATTAGCAATTTCAGAACTATAATGTGTTGGTGGTACAGGAGCCAAATCTGAATAATCACGTGGCATTAATAAACTAAGGTTCAGAACCACACCAATATGAATCACGTAAAGATGCAACATTTGTTTTAGTACAATCAATGAAAGTAATGATTTTAAAATTATCTACAAACTCAAAGCCCTTAAAAGCACAGTTTTATTATGAGTCATTACCAAAGTCTCTCTTGCCCTCCAATATAGGATTTGTAAGTTATAAACTGAATCAGCCAGTTGTAGGAAAGATCTGCAGATTACCCATACTTTAGAGTAGCTAATAATTTTTGAAGAATTCCAATTGGTAGCCACTTCAGTCTTATCCCAAGCACATGACTGAAGATCTATGGTTTTAGTTGCTGCTGCTCTAGTACACCTGTTGAAAGTTACTGTCAGCAAAAATAATGAATTTTTTAAAAAATTAGTGTACAAGGGGCTTAGATGATGATTAGGCCAAAGCAAACTAGAAAAAATAAAAACAGAAAAATAAATGAAGTTAAAAACCAATTGAGACCTATAATGGAGTAATTTTGTTTCAGTTACACATCTGGTGTTGTGGACTTTTCTTCTGTAGAAGTGCTAATAAATGCAACTTTTAAATATGTTTTTGAGGATAAATGCAGCTTAAGTAATTACCTAGGTCGCTAATGCAAGATCAACTTCTAGCAGATACTACCTGCAATAAACTAAAATCTACAAAGCAAATCATGCATTTATTAAAAAGATAATGACTTCCTTCACTTTAAGGTCAGATATAAAACTTAACATAAATCAATCAATCATTCTCAAACTAAATAGCTCCAGATGCCTATATGGTTAGGATATTAGAGTAATTTTAAATTAGTACAAAGCACAGGCAAACATCAACTTTTGTTAGCTGTCATAAGGAAGAGTCAACATTGACTATAAAAATTAAGATTAAACTTGAAATTTAAAGTGTTTGTATTAGAATGATGCAAATTACATCTAGGTCTGCTGTAATTTGTGCTCCAATGTAGATGTATCTAAAACAAAAAAGATACCAGTTACTTTAGCATCTTGAGGTTGTAGACTTGCTCGCTGAGCCGGTGTGTTTGACTGCAGACGTTTCGTCAATCTACTAGGTAACAGTGAAGCATTGGTGTTCTATCCTGCTTATTGTTTATATGCCTCAGTTTGCTAGGGTGGTTGGCATCACTTCTGGTTCTGTTTCTCAGTGGTTTGTATATCGGGTCCAGTTCAGTGTGTTTGTTGATGGAGTTCCAGTTGGAATATCAGGCCTCCAGGAATTCCCTGGCATGCCTCTGTTTGGCTTGTGCTACCATGGATGGGTCGTCCCAGTCAAATTCGTGTCCTTCTTTGTCCACGTGTATGGAGACCAGTGAGAATTGGTTGCGTCTCTTGGTGGTTAGTTGGTGTTCATGTATCCTTATTGTCAGTTTTCTTCCAGTTCAGCCCACGTAATGTTTCTCAGTCTTTGCATGGTATTTTGTATATTACGTTAATTTTATTGGCTGTGGATACAGGATCCTTTAATGTTCATTAGTGCTGTCACAGGGTAGTTGTTGGTTTGTGGGTTACCCTGATACCTAGGGGGTCCGAGTAGTCTTGTGGTCATCTCTGATAATGTCTCTAATATACATTAGGGCGAACAGTGTGTCTAACAGTGTTGTGTCTTCTTGTTGTGGTCTATTGTTGTGGTCTATCGCGGAGGTAACGGCGGGTTGTGCTTTTTGGATATCCATTCCTTTTAAAAACTCCATATAAATGCTCCTGCTCTGCTTTGCATAATTCCAGGTTGCTGGAGTGTTTTGTGGCCCGTTTGAATAATGTCCTGATGCAGCTCCGTTTATGGGTGTTGAGGTGGTTGCTGGTGTAATAAGTATCTGGTCTGTATGTGTGGTCTTTCTATACACGCTAGTCTGCAGTTCCCTGTTGTTCTTACGTTCTACCATTATGTCTAGGAAGTGTAAGTCGGTTATTATTCTCTTCTTTTGATAATTTTATTCCGATGCAGGGTGACAAAATGTCTGCAATCAAACACACCAGCTCGGCGAGCAAGTCTACAACCTCATTCAGAACCCAAGCTACAAATCTTCTCAAAAACTTAAACTTTAGCATCTTCAAATTAGATTAAGTATCGGAGTCCTGCAACTGGATTAGTGATTAAAACATTGCCTCGAATTTCTACAAAAAAATTCATACGCAGTATACCAGGGCTGATTAGGTTTACAACTAACATCAAGCATCAATTAGAATATTTCTTAAATTGAGCAAAAGATATAGGCGATTTTAACCAGTCAATTTCAAACAGTTAAACATCAGCTCTACCTGTTAAAAACACAAAGGATTCAAGTCAATGCAAAACCCAACTTACAGATTGTTGTGTTCCTTTAAGCCTGGAAAAGACTGTGGGTTTACATGGGCGAGATTAATGTAGTCATTTCGCTCAAGGTTGCCAACAAGTACACGGATTTTTGATTCAACAAGGCCAACCCTGAAAAGGAAAACATTTTTATAGTTTGGAAGTTAACTAAAGCAACACAAATTCTGAAGTAAAATACACATCACAGAAATAAGCCATTTGGTCCAACTAGCCCAATGTTCAGGCTGCATCCAAGCCTCTTTCCACCTATCTACCAGCATAACCTTGCAAACTTTTCTCTCGCACATCCCATCGTACTTACCCTTAAATGCTTCTATAACATCATCTGCCTCAACCTATGAGACAGTGTTCCAAACTAGCATTACTCTCTAGGTGAAGAAGTTTCTTCTGAACTTATCTGACTTCTTAATGACTATCACCTTTTGATCTCTAGCTTTTCCTTTCCCCAGTCTCTACAAAAATCACCAAAATTTAAGCTTATTAGACCACATTCAAGAGAAAGACTTGGCTGTGTGATCTTTCATCAGTTGGCAATGATCTTGGCAATACTGACAGTACCCTTGTAAATCATTTTTTACTGGAGTATTTACCATTCTAAGTGATGATCTTCAGTGGATGCACTTGCTGTTAATACAATGTAGTGCCTGCAAGCAAAGAAGATTGATTTGAATGCCCTTTAGTCAACAACCTTAAACAATATTTCAAAATTTAAAAAAAACCGTAAAACAACCTCACTATGAAGCATTCATCTTTTTTTAAAAAAAAACTGCTTAAAAGTGACTGTGCAGTGAAATAACTTGATCGCAAACACTGCCTTCTTACAATTTTGAAAATTGGGCACCAACTCATTAAACATAAAAACCGAAAGAACTGCGGATGCTGTAAATCAGGAACAAAAAGTTGCTGGAAAAGCTCAGCAGGTCTGGCAGCATCTGTGAAGAAAAAAATCAGAGTTAACGTTTCGGGTGCCGTGACCCTTCCTCAGATTTGAAGGAAGGGTCACCGGACCCTAAACATTAACTCTGTTTTTTCCTTCACAGATGCTGCCAGACCTGCTGAGCTTTTCCAGCAACTTTGTTTTTATAACTCACTAAACATGCTTCACTCTTACCACACAAAATGAACAGTAAACATGAGTTAGTTACTGATAATCAGCACATAGTTAGCAGCCTAGTCACAAGCAAAAAGGTGGTTTCCCAAAATGAAACACAAGCCACAAGAAAAAGCAAATGCTTGGTGTGATTTACATAACTCTTAAAAGTGAATAGAACCCCATGACTGTCCTCCAAGACAGAAGCAGCCCCTCTGACACAAACTGCCTATGAATTTGACAGTCAATAGGAAGGGTCTATTTTAAAAGTCTGCATTAGCTCAACTTTAAAAGACTAAATGGAAATAGTAATCTTCTGTTTCAAGGGAAAGAAAGTTAAATCGTTATTCTCTTTATAAATATGGAAGAGAGACAGACAGAGGAAAAAAAACTATTCGCATTCGTGGACAGTAAAAGGAGTAAACAGTCAAGCTTTTGGGCATTAGATAAAGGACAGTTGAGGGAAACAGGTTATGTACCATAGTGGTGATAGCTTGGAACTTCCTGTATACAAGAGTAGTGAAAGCAGTTGGATATCATTTGCAGGAATTAATTTTACTGGGTTACAGTGCTAAAAGGGGGAAATGGGACTAAATGAATTGCTCTACAGATACAGCATGGACTTGATAAGCTTAATGGTCTCCAAATGTCATATTCTTTCTTACATTCTGATTTGAGACTATATTCTATTTCAGTCCCACTAGCAACCATTGATATTAAATCTTCAAAATGACAGGAACCAATAGCCAAGGTTTGTCTTTAAAGTATTTTGCTGTCAAACTCAAAAAAATCAGAAATTATGTAGTAAACAAACACCACTCAGGTCACACAAAGCTAAATTTCAACTGTTTCAGCAACATTCCCAGAATATATGTGGTGCCACTGTATTATCAAGGTCTTTCAAATGACATCTCTCATACTCGCTCTTTAGTCTTTGAGCTGCTATCATCACCAGTTTTATTTCATCCAAAGTCCCCAGGATGTGTTAACATTAATAAGATACCAGTGGTTGTTCTGTTCTAATGTGGAAGCTTCCCAGAAGTTTATTGACAGACCAACCAACGACACCCCAGTTCTGAGGAAGTGTCACCGGACCTGAAATGTTAATTCTGATTTCTCTTTACAGATGCTGCCAGACCTGCTGAGCTTTTCCAGCAATTCCGGTTTTTGTTTCTGATTTACAGTATCTGCAGTTCTTTCAATTTTTACACCCCATTTCACAGTCTGTTCACCTATAATAGAAACACTTGGCTCTTCAGCATGAACTATTCACGTGGCTTTCATGATTCAGTCCTTTTTATTGCTTGTACATTGGTAGTTAAACAAAAAGGGCTCAGAGAAGCAAACAGAAAAAAACTTTCCTTGTAGAAGTTCTGCTGTTTTCTCTAAACACACCAACAATTTAGTAAACTTGTTCGATTGCAGGAGAAGCTGAATTTTGAGGCCTCACCCATTAGCCAATTTTTTTTTGGCTACCCAGTTCTCATCCCAATAGAATGCCAAGTCACAGCTCACTTCTCAAAATGACCTCACAGCTAAGAAATACAACTACAATCTCAACCCCCACCCCCTCAAAACCTAATAGTTTACTTTCACTCTAGATTAAAACAGATAATTTCACAAAGTGCATAATTCAGCACAATATGCTTTTGATTGATGTAAATAAAATTACCTCACAACCCTTTGCTTTGTTTTATTGTCTCAATATAGTACTACTTCAGTATCCTTTTCATTACATATTGAATTCATGAGACAACATGCATTATGTAGTAGGGGTGTTGCTATATGAAGCAGGGGTGCTGCATTACAATAAGCAGATGTATTTACATGTTTTGTAGGAAAGAGTGCACTCCAGATTACACGCATACTTATGGGAATGGCCAATGATTGAGAAAATATCTGAAGTAGTTTCACAGTTCAAAATAATCTAACAAATGTGGGAAGGAAAATGTGGAATGAAACAACAATTAAATTGTAGATATATATCAAAACTCAGGAAGATCTTCAACTTCTGAGAATCTGAACTAAAACATACTGGTTGGTCAAACAGAAAACATTTTCATATTTTTGGCACCTGTGAATGAACAGCCGGTGATCCCTACTGAATTGACATAGCAGGAGGGTTTGGTCACTCTACGACTTTTGTCAGGAACCAAAAGAATCATGCGCAAAGATAACTACCCATACTAGCAGCAAATAAATATACGATGTACACCCAATAGTACTGACCAGGGGACAGCAGGTGCTGAATACAGATGTAAATAGTTTCAACAGTCTAGCTTTGACAATGACAAAGCAGGATCCTGTATCACCAGTATACTGGAATACTAAATGCCTGCCAACAAAATTAAAGAAATTCTAGGTAGCTCCTGACCAATGTTGCACCATATTAGAGAAAAAAAAAACTTAATTAGTATTGGTTTAAAATCCAAAATTTTTCAGATAGATATTTTTCCAAATTGGGATAGGTTTCTACAGAAATGAACTGATAGAAGACTGTAGGCGACATTGTGAAGCATGCATGTACTTACTTATATTTTTGGAAGAAGCTTGGTGGTTCAAAGAGCTTAGACCAGTCTGTCTTGCTTTGCAGTATTTCATCAGTAATGGCAAGACCTAAATATACAAAGCTAAATTAGTACCGAACTGGAATAAAAATCACAACTTAAATGGTACAACTAATAAAAAGCATCTTAAAAGATAACTGTAGGAGTAATTTGCAGAATTTCACTTAAAGCAGACAAAAACAAAAGTATTCAGTGTTACTAAACTTGAAAAAAAAAGGCCCAACAGCTGATGGGAATTAAGACAAACCTTATGCCTGATTGCAAGGAACCAAAAAAAAAAAAAGAGATGGACACGTGAACACAACGGTTATCATTATTTAAGAATCTCAGGTTAAGTGTAATACAAAGACTTTTGTGTCAGGTCAAATTTCTAAATTAAAGAGGGACATTACTGTACAAATTAACATTCCTGTCAAAAGTTACATATTATCAAGTCCTTTTTAGAAAAATTAAATTCAGTTACTTAAGATTTCTTCATATAGACCGTGCTTGGAAAATCAAGTAAAAATATGGAAGACTATAGGAAACTAGTAACACAAAGTAAATCAATTTTCTGCAATAATTAAAACAAAAACCTTGCTTGAATTCTTCAATCATTATTGTTCGAGTTGACGAAGACACATTGAATGTGGAATTTTGTTGTGGGTAGGCAGGGGTTATTATTGGCATCAAGTGATATCTGTCAGATGGATTTACCTGTGAAACAAATGTCAGATGTGAGAACATACAAACATCAAATCAGATTAGTTTTTAAATTATGCTCAAGCATACCCGTGGGTCCCAAACTGGCAGATTCAAGTTGCTATCCTCTGGTTGTTTAAGCAATACTGGGTTTGGCCACTCCCTGAAAGCAAAACAAAAAAAAAATAAAAATCAGGACAACTAAATGACTACTCAATAGCACTGCCTTAAAAATAAAATGGCAACACTCACTCAGATTCAATTCTAACAGTGCCCTAAAAGCAAAACTTCAAATTCATACACAATGGTAAGTGCTCACTGTTGCAGCCAGGTGATATCTCTTTATATTGTCTGGCTCTCCTGCTGAAGACAGCACTTTATGCCAACAGGCCCAGGGTACACACTTGCATGCATAAATTTTAAAAGATTAACATTTAGAATATAGGTGACAGCAATTCCAAGTAGGTTTAAAAAAAAAGTTTTTAGGGGGTGCAAAAAAAAACCTCAAAAATACTGGTTAAGGTTAGGCTTGACATTATCTTGGAGTTCTACTCTGTGATATTAAGGCATGCAGTACAAGCCTACTTTATCCAGCACACCTCTCAACTCAGATCAGAATCGACTACACGTTATAAACACACATCAGATATTCATATTAAACAAGAGCTAGCTTGAAATTGGTTTAGTTTTTTTTTACCTTCCGAGGATTTCAATGGCACGATATTTCAATATTGATTTTCAGACCAAAGTGAAGCATAGTTTATTGGAAATTGTTAAAAAAGGACAATACAAATGTCTGCACTGGAGTTCTGCCTTCAGGTGTTATTATAGAACATAGAACAATACAGCACAGGATATTGAGGATTTTTTCCATTTACTTCTTCTGTTACCTGGATGCTCAAATCGAATACGAACATTTTTAGAATAATAGCATGTTAGCACAGAATGAGCAAATTGCCTTCCACGGAACTTTTTTTAGCATCAGTATTACCAGCGGACATCAAAATTCTATGCACGAGTTCAATTATCACTACTTTGAGACAAACATGCTTATGATTTTAATCTCCTACAGCATCAACTCATTTATGTCACAATTTTTCACTTGTTCAGTCTTCCTGGAGTCCTGGCTTTAGTGTATTCTACATGTAATCTATGCCACTCAGGGAAACTGAACAGGGAAGTGCTCATCAGGCCTGGTAGTATTTGTGCAGAGAGGAACAAGTTAGCACTGAGTTTAATACACCTGTGCTCTGAAGAAGAGTTAATATATACAGCACAAAATGTTAACTCTGTTCCTCTCTCCACAGATGCTGCCAGACTAGCCGAGTACTTCCAGCACTATTTTTATTTCACATTCCAAACATCCACAGCATTTTTCTTTTACATCAAAATGCATACTTGAAAAAGTTTATACAAATTCATCCTGTAAAATAGGACTGGTTAAAACATGAAATAACTTTCTGTTGTAAATTCCCAACAGTTTTACTTACCATTTGGAAAAGACTAGAAAAAACTTGTGGACTAAAGTAGATGCAACTGCATTAGGATACAACTGACAGGTTCTTGCTACCAACATGGCCCATGAAACACCGCCAAGGAATCCAAGCATATTAGAGTATATTCCACGTCCTAGAATAGATTTTTACAATAGCATTCAGCATTCTTTCTTTTAACAACCATATGCATAATAATCTGTAAATAAACTGGCTGTGCTACTTACTTTTTGCCCACAGTTTAATGGCTCTAAGTGTTAATCTGAAATTCTCTTTATTTGGCACCAAATGAAGAATTTCATCTGTAACTCTGCAACCTATCAGATGCAAAAATGTAATAAGAGGTGTTAAATGCAACTCTTAATCAAAATGCAAATGTCTAAAGTCAAGTACTGGACTATCCAAAATTTACACCAAATTAATGTTGCGCTCATGTATAACGTTTGCAAATGGTAAAAGATTTTGTAACTAGCTACACTATAATGCTACAAAACCGATGTAAACTCTTGTTTAAGTCTTCCTTATTTAATTATTGAATAATTTAGTACTAGTTTATTTAGGACAGTTGGGTGGATGGCTGGTTTGCGATGCCGAGTGTGGGTTCAATTTCCACACTTGAGATTACCACAAATGACTCTCCTTCTCAAACTCTCCCCTTATCCAAGGAGTGGTGACCTTCAGGCTAAACCACCACCAGTCATCTCTTCAAAGAGACAGCAGCCCTATGGTCCGATAGGACTATAATGACTATTTCTAAAACAAACTAGGTGAAGTTAAGTGAAAGAAGTCACAAATCATTTGTTAGTCTGTTTACTAGGAAACAAGTGTGGAGCAGGAGAGATACACCCATTAGTCTGAACACTGAAAAGTAACATTCAAGATCAAGTTACCATTCAAACTTCGTATACATCGAATATCAAGGTTTTTCAGACGAGAATCATCACGGAGGTCCAAATTGTCTGGAATGGTTTGCAAAGCTAGCCTAGCAAATACAAGATCAATCTGAAAGACAGAGTTAAAAGATGTACATCACAATGGCATTGTAATGTAAGCATATGCCTACAAGTGTATCTAAAAGGTTTTGCTGAAGCTTTGCAATTAATCTAACCCTACATTGTTTGAGAAATATCAATGATGTTTGGGCAATGATGGGCACAATAATTCAAATTATTTATGTAAGATACCTGCAGCTTCAAACTTGCATTTCTATACAAAATTGACTGAGATAAAGGGCCTATACCTATCTTTTAAAAGCGAAAATAATGTAGACATATTCCCCACGGATTTACCCTTCACTAAATAGCTTGATGCCTCCCCTGCCATTGGACAACTAATTAAGTGGGAGCAAAGATGCCTCCCCTATTTGGTTAAATGAACGTATACAAACATCAGTCATGTTCAAACACTAAAAATATCAATTTGAAACTCAGATTTAGATCAAGTGCAACAACAGCTAACATTTAAATTACACTCGTGTATGAGACACTGTAATTTTTGTAAATAAAGAGAAAACTATACTGTATTCTTTACAATTATGTGCAACTAGATTAGCAAGGGCAATTTTACCTCAATATTATCCAGTTCAAATTTGATAACTGGAACGAATGCATCTTCGACAGCCTGCAAAATCAAAAGACAAAAGATTGATGTGGATCGTGAATTAACTTTTTAAAAAGTTAGC